TCCATCCATCTAGTGGGGAGAGAACTGCTCCATCCATCTAGAGGGGAGAGAACTGCTCCCTCCATCTACAAGGGGAGAGAACTGCTCCCTCCATCTACAAGGGGAGAGAACTGCTCCCTCCATCTACAAGGGGAGGGAACTGCTCCATCCATTTAGTGGGGAGAGAACTGCTCCATCCATCTAGTGGGGAGAGAACTGCTCCATCCATCTAGTGGGGAGAGAACTGCTCCATCCATCTACAAGGGGAGGGAACTGCTCCATCCATCTAGTGGGGAGAGAACTGCTCCATCTATCTACAAGGGGAGAGAACTGCTCCATCCATTTAGTGGGGAGAGAACTGCTCCATCCATCTAGAGGGGAGAGAACTGCTCCCTCCATCTACAAGGGGAGAGAACTGCTCCCTCCATCTACAAGGGGAGGGAACTGCTCCATCCATCTACAGGGGGAGAGAACTGCTCCATCCATCTACAAGGGGAGGGAACTGCTCCCTCCATCTACAAGGGGAGGGAACTGCTCCCTCCATCTACAAGGGGAGGGAACTAATACACCAATCAATATGCTTTAGCCAGGCTCCACGAGGTTGACCTTTAAATATTGTCTGACATTTTTCCCTCATCTTTTTTTTCTCGCTCTTTAATGGTGACTGTCGAGTTTCTGTGGCACTTACCAGACATGAGGCACTGTCATGCAGCCACTGACATAAGGCACTGACATCAGGCACTGACATGAGACACTGACATGAGGCACTGTCATGCAGCCTCTGACATAAGGCACTGACATCAGGCATTGACATAAGGCACTGACGTGAGACACTGATATAAGGCACTGACATGCAGCCACTCACAATAGTGACATAAGGCACAGACATGATGCACTGACATAGACACGAGGAACTAGCATAGACACATGGCTCTGACATGAGGCAATAATATGGGCACGCGGAACTGGACCTTAAACCCGAATCTAGACAAATAATGCATCGTGTATAAACTTCAGACACTAGCACTGACAGACTACAGACACTGACAGACTACAGACACCGTCACTGGTTCAAACCAGATACAGTCACTGCCAAACTTGACACCAATAAAGACACAGTAAACCTTTTAATCATGTGACAAAACGACATCTACATCTTGAACGAGTGATCGATAGCCTTGTCGTGGTCAATGTAATGTTTACAATCGCAGATGTTAACGGTACTCGCCTACTAAACGCTTCTAGAAAACATCCCCCATCAAAATTGTACTCACATGATGTCCCCCCATACACACACACTCCTAGTTATAATGTTCCCTAATGCCAAAACCCCCAATTATAATGTTACCTAATGTCAACACCCCCCCCCCAATTATAATGTCACTCAACTGATGTCAACACCCCCATTATAACGTTACATGATGTTAACAGTAACACTCCGCCCTCTCAAGTGATACCAACACCCCCGAATTATAGTGTCAGTCACCTTATGTCACCCCCCCCCAATTATGTCACCAGATGCCACCCCCCCCCCCAATCATAATGTCACTCACCTGATGCCAACACCCACCTCCCCATTTGTCATTCACCTGATGCCAACACCCCCCCCCCCAATCATAATGTCACTCACCTAATATCAACACCCCCCCCCCCAATCATAATGTCACTCACCTGATGCCAACACCCCCCCCCCCAATCATAATGTCACTCACCTAATATCAACACCCCCCCCAATCATAATGTCACTCACCTGATGCCAACACCCCCCCCCCCATTTATGTCATTCACCTGATGCCAACACCCCCCCCCCCAATCATAATGTCACTCATCTAATATCAACACCCCCCAATCATAATGTCACTCACCTAATATCAACACCCCCCCCCAATCATAATGTCACTCACCTGATGCCAACACCCCCCCCCCATTTATGTCATTCACCTGATGCCAACACCCCCCCCCAATCATAATGTCACTCATCTAATATCAACACCCCCCCCAATCATAATGTCACTCACCTGATGTCTTCCGTCGCTTGCTGGGCCTCTCATTTGTCTTAGCACTGTCAGAGCTTGTTTCCTCGGCCTCTGGAATATCAGGGAAAGATAAACGTCATTAGGATATTGAAAAACTACACACCATCGCTGTGTTAAGGCAGTGTGTTGGTGAGGTCACTCGTGTGCTGGTCACCGAGATATACAACCTAGATATACATTAGCTACAAATAGCTGAAAGGATATGAGATCTTTATAAACTTCCTAAATTTCTTCTTGTTTTGTTTGTTTGGAAATGGGAATGGGAGAGGGTGGCAAAAGAAAGAATGTGGATAGTGGAAGATGCTATTTTAGATAAAGTGTGGTTGTCGATATATAGAAAGGCTTTAAATATAGAGAGAAGTAGTCGATATAAAGTGAGACTTCAGATACTAGGAGGGCACATAAAGTTATGCTGTTTTTTATTGGCTGTTTTAGGTACTTAGTGGTGTGGTTTATGTACAGAGAGGCATTATACAAAAAGTAGTAAGCCTGTTGGATTAAAACTAGGTTTTAGGTCTAAACTGATGTTAATTTAAAGAGAATATAAAGCGTGGTTGATATATAAAGTGAGGTTGTCAATATTAGATATTTAAAACATCGGTTAACATTGTTGCTCTTCACTTTCTGGCTAGAATATAAAAACAATCTTTACTTACTAATAAAATTACAAAAAATACAGTAACATACATTTATATGGAGCGAAAAATCTCAACTTACAAATGAAATCACAAAGAAACAAATTAGCTTACTTCTCTCTTCACAACACGGGTTCATTTTTATTTTAAAATGGTTAATAGGAAACTTCAAACTCTAACCAAAGGGAACTTAAATATATTTTTTTTAAAAGCCAATTAATTTATTTTATTCGGTTGTCTTTTTAATATGATTTTCACATTGTCGGTAATGGACTTTGGCGGATCGTTTTTTTTTTTCATGGTTTGTGGTGGGTAGAGGAGATCTGATTTCAAGGGAAGACACTGTGTGAGCGTGGGAAGGAAATGGGGGGGGGGGGGTGATATCGTAGTGACTTAGTAAAACCTTACATGCACAGACTAATATCAGTAAGGTAAATGTGCACGGGGGGGGGGGGGGTGTCAGGGCTGATAAGGTGCATAGGGGGAGGGGGAGATGGTCTTCGGTAATATTGGGGGTAGGGGGGAGCCAGACGATACGAGGTGCGGTTTAGGAGAGCAAGGGGGGGGGGGGGGTGCGCGTTTTGATGAGCGTGTTGATTACGCATATCGTATTAAAGTATTCACTGAAGAGTATTTTAAGCAGTTGTTATATTAGTATGTTTAGGAAGCATTTGTAAGCGAGTTTATAAGTGCACAACGACGTGAGTCTATTAATAACTTGTACGTGGGATGTATAGAGTTGAAGTATTATAGCGCTAATTAAGCAGTCATAGAAGTGAGGTTTAAATCATTTAATTTACTTAAAAATATCTTTTACGAGATAGTTCATACAAGCGCGTTCGAAATAAAATAGCTATTAATATGTCTGATGTGAGGTTTTTTTTATATAAAAGTAAGAATAATAAAGATAATTAGAAATTATTATTTATTTGAATTCGCCTTAGAAAATAGGATTTTTTTTTAAAGTGAAACAAAAGCAAATTAAAATACAATAATAATTCAATTATTTGGCTAATAATATTAGTAATATTTTTCAAAAAAAAAATATTTATAGCGACTTCGTGTGTCTATAAATAAATACGGGTTTGTAATGAGTCTAATTTTACAACGCTTAAAAAATAATAAGCTTTTATTAGGTTAATTTATTATGTTAACTTTCCACAGATATCATCAACTAAAACATAGACTTACATGCCAAAACATACCAACAAGCTAACACATAGACCTACACGCTAACACATACCTAAACGCTTACACATAGACCTACACGCTAACACATACACCTACACGCTAACACATACCTAAACGCTTACACATAGACCTACACGCTAACACATACACCTACACGCTAATACAGGCCTAAACGCTTACACATCGACCTACACGCTAACACCAATCTAAAAACTCCAGCCAAACGAAAACACATCAAGGCCAATGTCGACCTGCATTAAAACATGACCACAAAGGGTCCTATCAAAACGTACTAACTAAACCATCATCCCCCACGAAATAATACTTCAAAGAATTGAACATTACCATCTCAAAGTTCACTGACAGGGAAATAACTCACTCACAGATTTTATTTCGCTGTGTGGAACTCTCAGTTATCCGATAACTCCGCCTTCACCAAGGATAAATAAACACTTCACGATGATGCACGATCGGCTATCCCTTTAAACATTTCCGTTAATAGGTTCTTAACTTTCACTTTATTTTACCTGCTCTAAAATATATCTAACTAAATTTAGATTTAATTGTTATTGAGAAATGTTCTTAATTTAAACATAATCTTATTTCGGTTGCGACAATACGCAAAATATAAACAAAAATCAATGTCTTTCCCCACATTTTCCGACAGCTTAAACTACTTTGTGCAGAAATATCTATTGATATAAACTGGCTATGACATCATAGAATGACGTCAGCGGGCATCGATACGCTCCGGATGCAACAATACGCCCGCCATTTAATTTTTTTTTCCTATTTTCAGTTTTGATGTGGGAGGCTTTTTCTACGTACGCATTCGTCTTGATAATTTACATAAAGCCAAGTTCAAGGATAAACTGTTAAGATACTAGTGTAGTATACTGAGTAGTATGTTGCACACACGTAAACTTAATCCCCTTGTCACAGTTCTCTAGTGTGTACCAACAGATGTGTCAGACTGAACAGCACTCGTCGCTATAGGGGTTTTCCCAGGGGCAGATAATTCACGGGGAGGTAACCCCCAACAGGTAGTGTTGAACAAGGGGGAACAACCAACATCCCGCCAAACAAACACCAGCGGAGCCTTACACTGGGTCACCTGTAATGTAATGCACCACGCACGCGCATGCACGTGCACCGCCTACTGTTTCCAAAGTTTAGTACAAGAAATTTCTGATAACAGCACATGCGAGTAATTACACTAATTGCATTCAATCTTTATCAAAACATCTTAGCTCTGAAAATAGTAAAAAAAAAAACGCTAAATGATCAACGTTTAAAACGTAATGAGCGTTTGGAAACGGAGGGGGGGGGGTGTACGGTAACTTTAACTAGCCTGGTATTATTAAGTCAATTAATGTTTTAACCACTTGAGTTTTGGGATTTGTCTAAACAATAGATCTTACATTATGTTAATAAAGGGAAAAAAATACTAAACAGTGTAATGAAATTTCCATTTTGTTATTAAAGAAACTAGACCTGAAAAGAAAAAAAATACACATTAGATTATAAAGAAAATAACTAGACATGCACTAAAATTAAAAACGTACAATCTCCATCCGAAGGAGATGATGGAAGAGAAAGTAGAGTTTATCTCATTTAAATGACCACGACACGGTAATGGTATGAGACCAATTGAGCACACGACGCAAACATTGGACTATTTGATGTTTCCACCAATCCCGATGATATGTGATTTTTTTCCCCATTCATTTAATGCGATTCAATTTTCACACAATATTAGCCATTTTACTTATTCATATTAACCCAGACCACATATCTCCAAACTCCTTTTCGCCACAAAAAGCTAATGACTGCTAATATCCTACAAATGACGTCTTAAAGTCGCACCCTTTACCCCCCACCCCTAAACACCCCAAATTTTAGCATGTTTCTATTACTATTATTTCTAAGAACTTCAAACGCTACATCACATTTTTACAAACCTGTTACCCTACGTAGAACATAATCTCTTTAGTAAGAAAACTTCATGTTTCTACATTTTAATTTTCCCATATAATTCACTACTAACACTAACAAATGACAAGCCATATGGGGGGAAAACGTATAAGACAAGACAAAAAAAAACACAAAGCTTTGTCAACAGTTTCCTATTGATTATAGTTAGATTTAGAAGTATAGACAAGGGCAGCTAACTCTATCGTGTTCGTGTTTCTAAAGACAAGAAACTGGGACGAACATGGGGTGTTGAATTCCCATTGTTGTTTTACAGCAGGGGTTCGAATGTGTGGTGGGTCATGACCCACTTTAGGGTTGTTAACTGAAATTACAAGTTGCCTACAACTGTGATGAAGAAAAACTCAATCTTTATTACACATTATTCTTACATTTCTAGCCTACATATTCATACAAAAAAACCCATGTATTTATTAATGAAATACTACTTTTTAATAAGTTAATTTATTTGTACTATTAAAAAAATTAATGTATGTTTAGTGATTATTATTTATTGTCTGTACTTGAAAAAAAAAAAAAAAAAAAAAAAAAGAAAAAAAAAAAAAAAAAAAATTGTCTGTACTTGTGTAGGAATAAACTTTATGTTGTGAAGACCAGTTATGAAAACTTGAGTGATTTTATGGCATGATATGATGAGTGAAGCTAAACTTTACGGCAACAAAACCAATCGGTGACTACCAATTTAATTCCCAGCGGAATCTCAGTACGGTTAGAAGGTGTCTTGTCCACACACTGACGCGTCCTATTGGACAATACGGTAATGAGAAGTGGACGGCTTCATCGCCGCGTGTACTCACTCAAGCGTTACATCCCCCCTCCCCATGTTACAGCAGCATCAGCTCAGCGCCTATGCACGTGCATGACGTAGTTCAGCCATCGATCCGCTCAACTGCTCAAACTTTTAGATCGGCCTGATACAAAAGACAACAAAAATTGTTTTGAAAAACTCCTCAGCATCCCCCCCCCCCCCCCGTGAAGAGCCGGCCTGCAGCCTGTGGTGAGCCAAGTGTAGCTATTTGTAGCATCAGCTAAACATCAGGTACATGCGCAAGAGCTAATTTCTTACTTCCGGAATCCTTACGTCACAAGTATAACAACAGCGATCTAAGTCCCGTTCTAACACTGCTGTTGGCAGATCGATATATATATATATATATATATATATATATATATATATATATATATATATATATATATATATATAAACATATATATATATATATAGTGTAAATA